AAGACAAAACTTTTACGAGCTAATCCTGTTCTAGCTGCTCGTCTGTTCGAAAGCCGATTTACTTCTTTCATGAATTTATTTATTAAAGGTGGAGCATGGTGTCTAGAGAAAGTAGTAGACTGGTTTGCTCGTATAGAAATGCAATTAGGAGGTTCACCACATTCACATATGCCAATCTGGGTAGAAGGTGCACCTAAGTACTATGGACCTCAAACAGACGAAAAAACTCGTGAAGAGATTGTGAAATTTTGTGACAAATATATCACAACTCGATTTCCATCGTTAGATGAAGATGCTGAATTACATAATAAAATCAAAGAAGTACAAACTCATTCTCGTAATCATTCAAAGTCTTGTTTAAAATGTTATAAGACTTTATGTCGTTTTGGATTTCCACGTCCTGTTTCTAGACGGACATTCATATGTGAACCAATAAAAGTTGATAATGATGACGAGAAGCAATGTTGTAAAAAAATAAAAGAAATTCTTACTGAAATAAATGCAACCATGAACACATTAGAAAAAGAGAAAATGTTGTCATGGTCCGATTTTGATAATCTTCTAATAAAGTATAATTGGACCTATGAGGAGTACGAATATGCTCTTCGAGTTGTTCATACTAGAACTATCATAATTCACAGAAGAGAACCCAATGCACGATGGGTTAATCAATATAATGAAGAATTATTGAGAGCATGGGATGCTAATATGGATATTCAATTTGTACTTGATCCATATGCATGTGCTAAATACCTTATGTCATATACAACAAAACCAGAACGAGAAATGAGTTTATTACTTAAAGCAACTCATAAAGAATGTCATGAAGGAAATATGTCTGTTCGAGAAGAAATGAAAAAATTAACAGGTACATTTTTTAATCATCGACAAGTTAGTGTACAGGAAGCTATTTGTCGTGCTACTAAAATGCCACTTACATATTCAAGTCGAGGTTTTGTTTTTGTACCAGCACATTCAAATAGTTGTAAATTTTTAAAACCACCTAATATATTAAAACAAACGGATCCAGAAGACGATAACATATATATGTCCAATTTAGCCGACAAGTATTTTGACAGACCAGCAGATTCGGAATTTGATATTTGCATGGCAGATTTTGCATCTGAATATGAAATACTATCGATAAATAAAAATACTAAAAATCCTAAAACACCAATTAAACGATTACAAACACTTAATTTTACTATGAAAAAACGTTGTAATCGTAATACTATTATTCGTTATCCATATTTCAATAAAGAAACAGATAGAGAAAATTATTTTGAAAATCTACTTTGTCTTTATTTACCCATAAGAAGTCGAGATGATTTAAAAAAACCTTATGAATTATTTTATGAGATAGGTGAAATATTTGATACTCGACAACAATGCATAAGAAAAGTAAAAGATATTGTTCTTGAAAATCAAAAAAAAATATGAAGCTCATGTCAAAGAAACAGGTGAAACAGAGTCATTATTCAATGAATTGTCATTGAACATGAAAGACAATGAATGGGCTGAAATTGTTGCTAATAAAGAAAAATATAGCACATGGTCAAGAGAAATTGAACAAGAAGATAATCCTGATTTTGATATCATACATAAAAGAAAAAATAAAAATACGTTGATTGATTTGAAGCAAACTTATGCTACTACAGATGAAATGCGACCGTTGTTAGAATCGATGAACAATGAGCAACAAGAAGTATTTTATCATGTTAGAGAATGGGTACAAAACGTTTGCATAATCCTGATGTCGAACCTCTTCGTTTATTCATTACAGGAGGAGCAGGCACAGGTAAAAGTCATCTTTTGAAATGTCTTCATTACGAAGCGACAAAAATTTTTTCTCGTAAAAAACACTTAGAACCTGATGAAAATATTGACGAAATTCATACATTGATTACAGCTTTTACTGGTGCTGCAGCTGTCAATGTTGGCGGAGTAACTATTCATAGTGCATTCGGTATTGGTACTCAGTCTAATAACTTAAACGATCATTTATCTTGTGACAAACTAAATAGCTATCGATGTAAATTACATTCCTTAAAACTATTATTTGTTGATGAAGTTTCTCTCATTCAAGCAAAGCTTTGGGGTGCTATGCATGCTCGTCTTACTCAAATCATGGGTATACGTTCCAATACAGCTATTTTCGGTAACGTTGGAATAATCGCTATTGGTGACTTTTATCAATGTTCACCTGTTGCATCTTCAAGTATTTATTCTTCTTTACTTAGGTCTGATCATTTTGAGTACATCGAACTCAAAATCAATGAAAGACAAAAAACAAATAGTTCTTTTTCACAAATGTTAAATCGTATCCGAAAACTTTAAAAAAAAAAGATATGGATAAAGAAGATGGTGACTTACTTGAAAAATGTCATCAACGCTATTTGCATAAGGAATATCATCCAGAATCATTACATTTATTTACTAAAAATACTCAGGTGGATGCACATAACGAAGAGATGATTGAAAAGATTTGTACCAATATTCGAACATTTTATGAAGTTGATAGCAATGATAAAGAGATAAAACAGAATGAATCTAAACATACAAAAACAATAAATAAACCACTACATCTTGCTAAAAATGCACGAGTAATGATAACTAAAAATATTTGTGTAAATGATGGATTAGCTAATGGTGCGACAGGTCGTATTGTAGAATTTGTAGAAAATAATAATGCACACGTTT